TTTGTAACCAGGAGCTCTAGATTTTTGTTTTGAAGCAAAACTTTTCGCCGGTAGCATTTTATGGCTTAGGACCGTTTCGTCGCAGTTGTAAATTTGTTCCGGATTAAAAGCATAGTGCTTCATTAATTCTTTAAAATGTTCTCCAAATTTTAATGTAGCGGACTTATCTGCAGGTTTCTCCTCAAACTTTTAATTCTCGTAAACCGTGTCGTTTTTTCCATCTATGCAGCCAACCATCACATGCTGTAAAGTTATCAGCCGCCTCAATTACTGGCAATTCTTCACATAAGTTGACTGCTTTTTCCTTTAGAATTGGTCCAGAAATTGGTATTCCACGTTCTCGATTCTGATATTTCCCTTTTTCATAGTATTCCGTGACGGCTACGATGATGTCAGAGCACTAGACCACTTTTCAATTTTCTCGCGTTGTCTTACATTCTGAAATGGTACTCACGCCCACACCCAAATCACTTGCCACGTTCATAAGCAAATCACTTCTATCTAAACGTTTGACTGCGTTTCTGTTGGTAACAACAACGCGTTTACGTTTATTTCTATGCTGCTCCATCTTAGCGATTATGAAGCTGAGTGAAACAAACATACACGCACACATACCAGTGAATTCCGCAACCGCGCTTGGGGAATCACCGACAGCGAGTCTAATGACGCAAACGCCGAAAGGGGAACTACCGGCGGCTATTTTGGATCATGCGCCGATTATCCGAACAACTTCGTTTAAAACGCAGAAATTATTGTATGCAATCTGTTTCGCATAAAGCGGATTTCGGATAATCGCGATTCGGATAATCGGGGCTCCACTGTATTCCTATTTGTTACTGTATACGATGAAGGAATAAATAAATTATGAAATGTTTCTAAAACATACTAAGCAAAGATTAAGTGCTGTCAAAATTTCTGAGCTACTGTTTGTTTCAAATATATTGTTTTAACCGTGACTTAAGCTTAACATGATTTGCTGAATTTCTAATATTGATGTCTAATGCAGTATAATATAGTGACATTATATGAGTAAGAAACTTAAATTTAGATTAATGAACGCTTGTTCTAAATAATAAATAGCGCTTTTGCCCAACAGTTGAGGAAACCATTTACCAGGACAATCTTGAGGTAAATCAAACTAACAAAACCAGGAAACGTACAAAAAGCAGGTGATTCCATCCTAAAGGGAAACACGAACAAGTGAAAAAGCAAAAAACATATTCCACTCAAGTGAGAAACATATCATAAATTATTTAAGTTATTACTATCTAATCCCTGAATGCTGTCAACATGTACGAGCCCCTTCCCACTTCAGATAGCCCACTTCAAGGTTTGTACCAAAATGTGCCTTTATAATAAACTAAACATGCCGAAACTATTTACTTCTAAAACAATTTATTTTCACAAAAACATTTTAGATACACTCTAGTCGTAATAAATTCATATTTGAAATCACTTAGACCTATAACTAATAGAACATCTGAACAAATAAGCAATGTGCGAATAAATAAAGTTAACAAAGCAACAATTGAAATATTACCATTGGGTCACATCACCTTTATTTTTTATTACGACTGAAATTCTTTGGGGCATAGTGTTAACCAAGTTTTGGCAAACATTTGGTGTAAAACAATCTCATATTTCTTGAAGCTTTTGTCTCAGTTCGGTGATTGTACGAGCAGGAAGTTTTCCTACTCCTTTTGATACTGCCCCAGACCATAATGCATGCTGGAAATTTCACTTTTCTCTTCAGACAGTCAACATGGAATGCTTCATTTTTTTTGCGAATAACTCTACTGCGACTGTCACCAACACAAACTTCGAATCGGGCCTCATCACTGCATTGTATTGCAGACCATTGTTGAGGTGTCCATTGTCTATGTTCTTTAGCCCATCTAAGCCGATTTTTCCTTTTTGTGATTTACTTATACATATATCAGCCGTCACTGTATGGATTTAAAAAATGAGAAGCACGTCGAAAGGCAGGTAGACTGACGGAAATAAATGACATGGGTTTTTGTGATATACAGGGAAACCCTAACTTGTCTGAAGGCTTGAGTTTAGTGTGTATGAGAGAAGCGCGGGAAGTGTGTATCAACATGTGTTAGAAATACGAGCCCTTTCCCACTTCAGTTGGCCCACTTCAAGATTTGTACTAAAATATGCCTGTATAAACTAAACATGACGAAACTACTTGCTTCTAAAACAATTTATTTTCTCAAAAGCATTTTAGATACACTCTAGTCGTAAAAAATACATATGTATTTGAAATCACATAGACCTATAACTAATAGAACATCTGAACAAATAAACAATGTGCGAATAAATGCGCTAGTTAACAAAGCAACAATTGCAAGATTACCATTGGGTAACATCACCTTTATTTTTTATTAAGGCTGAAATTCTTGGGGGCATAGTGTTAACCAAGTTTTGGCAAAAATTTGGTGTAAAACAATCCCATATTTCTTGAAGCTTTTGTCTCAGTTCGGTGATTGTACGAGCAGGATGTTGTCGTAGAACCTTTTTCATCTCGTGCCACAATGTTTCAATAGGTGACAGATCTGGACTGCTAGAAACCAATTTCAAAAGTAGTAAATTATTTTCTTCCATCCATATTATAGCCTCTTTTGAGGTATGGCACGCTGCACCATCTTACTGAAACACAAAATCTTGGCCGGATGTCAAACATTCTTCCATCACTGGTAAAAGCGATTCTTCTAAAATTGCCAAATATTTGTTTGTATCCACATTTCCATCAATAAAATGAATTTTTCCTACTCCTTTTGATGACATACTGCCCTAGACCATAATGGATGCTGGAAATTTCACTTTTCTCTTCAGACAGTCAACTTGGAATGATTAATTTTTTTTTTGCGAATAACTCCACTGCGACTGTCACCAACACAAACTTCGAATCGGGCCTCATCACTCCATTGTATTGCAAACCATTGTTAAGGTGTCCATTGTCTATGTTCTTTAGCCCATCTAAGCCGATTTTTCTTTTGCAGTGGAGTTAATAGTGGCTTTTCTTTGGCCTATAAACAAGTTGTGCAACTTTAGGGTTTTTACTTCACTTTTTTTTATAAGAAAACTTATCTTGCAAGTGCTAAATCCCAGTTTGTGGGCCTCTCTATGAGTTGTGGACCTCGAAATTCTCCTTCCAACAGCGTTATCCCACAGAGCACTTCATTGTAAATAATTGGCACGCCTGTCTTTCAGGATTATTCTTCTTAATGCTCTTCGGTCTTCGGTCGGCATTTGTGATATTACTTTTATTTTTATTTAATTATCAGTAACCGAATTTTCTCACTAATAACCTTTCCTCTACCCATTTTGAAAACTTTAACTACACAAAACTATTTTAAACGTATTCTGACAGCTGTGGTTAATAAAAACAATTGTCATGGCTTTTATTTTTCACAGCCACCTATGCGTTATAGACTTATTTTGCATTGAAATGAAAATAGGTTGATATGCTGTAATTGCAACATGTGTTATTTTTATGCTGCAAATTTGATTAGGGAGTGATAAAGTTGGTGTTTTCTACTATATATTATCAAAATATTCATTATTAATATTTTAAACGTATAACACCCTACTACATTTTTATTATTTGTGTTTGATAAGAAAAAAACTAAGATTTCAATAGTTGGGCCAACTGAAGTGGGAAGGGGCTCGTATATCGTTACAATTAGATAGAGCATTAAGAGTTTCACACATTACAGATAAATCTAAATAAACTTGTGCAAACCCGCTCACAATAAAAGGTTTTAGCATTACGCATTTGAATAGATAGGACATTTAAGTTTAGTTGAGCCTGAAAAATATTTACTCGATTTTGTTTAAATTTGGCAATATTACTTGTATTAGGAGGCGAATGTCCAATGATATGCAATAAGACGGTTTATATTTTTTTCCTCGAAAACGAAGTGAGATACGAAAAAATACAGAAGGCAAAGAAGTTGTATTTTTAGCTGCTTAATCGAACGCCAAATATTAAAGTTAAGAAAAAGTCAGTGGCGTACATTTCTTTGCCGATAATATTCGTCAAGATGCCCCGGGACGCCACTGGAACTGATAATTTCAATCTATTTAGGGCCAAATCGGCTTCTTAATACAACAAGTATTGCCCTGTATATTCTGCTCAAGAAAATCAATGTAGCAGTTGTAAATTGGGTCCAAATTAACGATGCATAATCCAATTTCGATTTAATATATGGAGAATACAAAACCGACAGTGACTCAGGGCGGCTGAAACTTCTGCAGAATCTCGCAATAAAACTGTACGCCCGTGAAGCTTCACTCACTTTTTGAGCATAGTGCAGTGAAAAATTGAGTAAATGGTCGAAAACTAGATGTTAGCTTGTTCCATAAACGTAGTTATAATAAATTTTATAAATGACAAAAATAAATATTTGAACAAGTTATTAATTTTGATCCTGAATGTTTGATTGGGCAATCATATTTCCTAAGTTTATTTGTGAACCGGACTTTATGGGAAGAATATAACTCAATTTACCCCATCATCCACAGACTCCAGCAGCACTTCGAGACGAAGTACAAGTAGCTTTAGATGAGATACCTCAAGAGGAAATGGATCGTATAATTAACTTGTGCATGAGGCACGGTGGAGGCCCAAGAATTTACATTTTTCCAAAGTTGGATTTTTTTCTGAAACTTCGCTCAACTACTTACCCAACCCAAAGAGACGTATACAAAAAATTGTTGTAAAAAATTCATTATTACAGTGTGTACCCTTTCTACACCACTTCGTATACTTTGTTGTTCTAAGATGGTTAAACTGTCAATTCCTTCGCTAACACCATGCCGGCTTCTATTTGTGCTTGGCAAACATTAGCATGCGTGCTCGGCTTGGGCCAATAAAGCATATTTTCTCAAGGGAATGTTACCAAACGAGTGTCCATCAAAAATAGTCCACCACACTTGACCCCATTTCCTACCCACATCTCTCACTCACGATGCGTCCCCATTATTTCCAGGTGAGAACGAGTTGAAATTCACCGCCCTCCCCAGAGGTTTCTGCTCCAATTGCTGTCCAGGCGTGATGGAGAGGGACGTTCGGTTAGTGGCCTACACGAGGGACACTGCAGATTCGGGCGTCGAGATCGGCCTCAGGCCAGGGGCGGCACGGAATGCGGGCATCCGGGCAGAGTGGCCCACGGCCATTTTCATACACGGCTTTACCGAGCTGTCACCGGGGCAGAGTGGACGAACGATCATTGATGGTGAGTATAAAGGAAAATATTCCGCACAAAAACAACGGTAAAGCACTTGCGGTTGAATGGGCCACCTGTCTCATATCAAATTCCATAGAACATATAAGTCGTATAACCACCATTTTTGAAATAATGATCTACTACCCGTGACACGTCTTGTCAAAATTTAGAAGCTTTTATGATTATATTTGCCCGGCCCAAATTATTCTTTGCAGTTCACTTCACACTGTAAGTCAGTTTGAGGTTAATTAAAAGCAGTGTTGTTCATGTTATTTTTTGCTCCTATTCCTAAGCTTTTTTTTTCCATTTGGTAAGTAGATATTTTTAAGATATATTTTTTGCGTATTTTATGGACATGTAGTTAGTTGTTGCTGTGATAATTAATTGAGAAAGGGTTTATTTAGGTTGAAATTTAATTGATAAACGTTAATTCGTGCTTGTTCTGTATATCGTACCACCCACGGTTTTGTAAATCGTACCGGTAAGATTTACCCAACTGAGGCTCTTTGCTTCGATTTTCAACAAAGTTTTTATAACAGGTTTTTAAAAAGAAGATGAGTAAAGTAAGAAATAAGAAAATAACAAAACGTGAATACTGTCGATGGACCTCAGAAGATATGGACCATGCGATTAATGCATATAAACAAAACCAGTGTGGTTTTAATGAGTGCTGCCGACGTTATCACATTCCAAAGCCCACTTTTAGAAGGCACTTGCGCTCATGAAATAAAAAGGCAAATGAAAATGTTCAGTCTTTGGGTCGACACACAACTTTTAGCAATAAAATTCAAAATAGAATTGGCAAAACATATTTTAAAGCTGGAAGAAAGATTTTTTGGTGTAACAATTCGGGATGTTCGACGATTGGCTTTTCAAATAGCTGTTCGGAATGATATTCCACACCGTTACAATATCAATAAGAAAATGGCGGGAAAAGGATGGAATTATTCTTTTATGGACCGGCATCCTGAACTGTCACTTAGACAACAAGAGAACATCTCCATGGCCAGAGCAACTGGATTCAACAAAAAAAAAACGTCCATGAGTTTTTCGATATTTTAGAAAAATGTGTTGATGAAAACGGTTTTACGGCTCAAAAAATGTATAATGTTGATGAAAGTGGATTTTCAACAGTTTAGAAACGGAATCAAAAAATAATTGCACGTAGAGGAAAGCACCAAGTTGGAGGTATAGCAAGTGGTACAAGGGGCGTAAATACCACAGTTGTCGTTTGTGACAGTGCTGCCTGTCAAACTGTACCGTTCATGATAATTTTTAAGAGAAAACGTATGGCTCCAGAGCTTACCATAGGTGCAATACCTGGCACTATTGTTACAATTTCAGATATTGGATATAGAAATAGTGAACTTTTTGTTAAATGGCTACAGCACTTCATTGAGTATGTAAAACCAAGTACCAAAAAAAGTTTTACTTTTACTAGATGGCCACACATCGCACTCTAAAAATCTAGAGGCACTCATTTTAGCAAAAAGTCATGGAATTGTACTGCAACTTCCTGGCCATACTACAAATCGATTGCAACCGTTAGACGTGAGCTTTTTTAAGCCTATGGAATCCTATTTTTCTCAAGGTCTAGAAACATTTTTAAGAAGCAATCCTGGTAACACTGTTTCTCAATACAACACGACTGGATTGCTCTCTGATGCCTATGCAACAACAGCATCTATAAGCACTATCATGAATAGTTTCAAAAGCACTGGAATATGGCCGGTTGACCGCACTGTATTTTCTGAGACAGATTTTATCGTTGCTAATGCCTTGCTTGAAAATGATTCAGAAAAAGCAAGTGAGGACTCAGAGGCAGAAAATCTACGTGAAACGACTCCTGAGCCTAAAGGCGATGCTACTCAGCCACCAGTTCACAGTGATAGTACTGAACAAAACAAAAATTGCAACACAACAGATCTCAATACGTCTATTTTTTTTGTGATACTCCAACCACCACGAAGGCCTAAGGCCTAAACACTCATTCGGTACCGGGGGGCTATAGGGGGATACAGGGGAAAGGGGGAACGCCACACGGACTCTGGCGAGGGAACACGTGTGCATGCAACATGCACACATTCTGGCCCCGCCTACGAGATCCGCCTGGTGGTACCCCCGCGTTCGACAGTCAGAGAGCGTCTACCACCTACAGACAATCACAACATCCATAGCCAAGAGAAAAATTTCTACTTCTCTTTTTGAAGCACGTGACTGTCAATCTTTCACTTCAAAATCTGCCGAGGTAAAGGCTCAAATTGAATATGATCCTACTGATTGGTACTGCTTTATATGTGAAGAGAACATTATTGAATATATGGTGAGATGTATTAAATATGTGAAAAATGGGCCCACACATCATGTGCAGGAACCAAAAAACAAATAACAAAATATGTGTACGAGAACTGTAAATAAATTTAAAAACCAATGGTACGATTAAACCAACCTGTTCGCTAAATCGTACCACTTGCAAGCCTTTCTATTTTTCTATTTTCTTTTTGCTTAAGATATTGTTTGATTCAGTTAAACTTTTGATTCATAGAAAGCTAAATTTTTATTTGTGCTTGTCTACTAATATTACCAATAAAGAGTTTAATTTTTGAGTACAGTGGTCAAAAATTTATAAATCGGCACGCTTTACCCTACTTTACTCTATTTGCTTTAAGAAAACGAAGTATATCGTCTTCAGTTTTCAAAAGCGCAAGATAATAATAATAATAATGTTTATTGTCACAAAATACAAGTAAATATCAAATATTGTGCACAATAAACATAAAGCACCCAAAAAAAGTTTGCACTTGTGTTTGGGTTTGTACAAAATAAAAACTAATAGTACAGTCAGTGTATGAAAAAAAAAGAAAAAACCCGTTAATACTGTATAATTTGGTGAATTATTATGGTAATGTCAGGAAAAATATCGAGACAATTAGAACTGAAGTAAAAGTATGGATGTTAGTGTAAGTAAAATATTATTGATTTTGATAATGATTTTTCAGATCTACAATTTCGTGGATGGAGTACCTTGGTTGTTGTAAAATCCATTTTTTTAGTTGTTTTTTAAATGATTTATTTGATTTAATTACTTTTAATGACTCTGGTATGAAGTTATAGAATTTTGGTCCCAAGAAAAACAGAGATCGTTGTGTAATGGTTTTTGATGTTTGTGGAATACACATTGAATTTTGATTGAATCTTGTTGGGTAGTTATGAATGGTACGATTAAAGTATTTTGAATATTTGAAATAATGTATTAGACCACAATAAAAATAAATTTGTCTGCAATCTAATAGCTGAGCCTCCACATATAGAAAATCACTTGAATAAGTAATCTCCCTATGGAGGATCAATTTTAGAATTAATTTTTGGATTACCTCAACCTTTCTGTAATTTAAAGAAATGTATTTCTTATTTTTAATACAAAATGGTAAAAATACTATAGGCCATGATGTGACGTCATGGAAATTGTAAACAAATAATCGTAATCCCTACGTCACTCGTGAACTAATATTGTCTTCTTTAAGTATTTCTAAAAAACTAGTTATCGTTTTTACGTTTTATCGAAAAAAAAAATCATAGATGTTGAATTCGTGAAAGCAGAAAGCACAAATTTACCGAAAATTGACACACTGATGGTTGGTAATTTTTTGCTTTCAACCCAGAATTTTGCTCTACTTAGCCGAGGAACATCAAGACTTTTATTAAGTACAGTGCAACTAATTCTACCTAATAATGTATTTCTTCTTATACATCTGCAAGGGAATCGTACGGTGTTGATGATGCTGTAGGTTTCATCCAACTCAAATGAGATCATTGAACTGCACAGTAAAATGTATAATATGTCCCGAACATAAGATACGTTCCAAGCAATACACAGTGGTGCAAGAATTTATTCCCCTACTTCGCTCTTCCATCTTTCCGTCGGTCTCCCTCTCCTCTTCTTGCCTCCTATGCTTCTGCTAACAATCATTTTTGGAATCCTATTTTCCGTCGTCTTTTCTACATGCCCTAACCATTTCAACCTTTGTGCTCTTATATATCCTGTTATACTTGATTCTTTATACATATCTGCAAGGTCTTGGTTTGTTCTTCTTTCTCATACCTCATTGTTCTGTTTCCCTCCAAAAAATTTTCTTAACATCTTTCTTTCCCACACTTCTAGGATATTTACATCTGCCTTCCTCAAGATCCATGTTTCACAAGCAAATGTAACTGATGGTCTTATTACTGTTTTATATAATTTATTTTTAGTTTATTACTTATCAACTTGCTTTTGAGGAGATAGTTCAGGCTATATAAACATCTATTTCCCTTCCCCAGTCTTGCTTTGATTTCTTCCCTTGTGCCCGGTTTTCTTGTGAATGTTGATCCCAAATCTCTTCAAAATTATATATTTTGCCACTGCCTGTTTTTACCTTTAGGCATTCTCCTGTCATAAAATTATTATCTGTCCATCTCATATATTTAGTTTTTTCCTAATTTATTATTAGACCCTTCTCCTTTGCCTTCTCTTCAAGTGTTTTTAGTACTTGTATCAATTCTCTTTTGCTTCTAGCAACAATTACAATGTCATCTGCGAGCGCTAAACATTGGTGCTTTCTATTGTATAATAAACCATTCCTATTTAAATTTGTTGCTCTGATTATATCTTCCAATACATAGTTGAATAAAACTGTTGACAACGGATCCCTTTGCCGCAACCCCACTTTTACCTTGAACTTTTCAGAATAGTTTCCTTCAACTTTTATTCTATTTTCCGTTTCCTGAAGTGTCAACGTTATTAGCCTTATAATCTTTTCACTATTTCCTAGTCCTATTAGTGCTTGGTATACTGCCGATCTTCGGATTGTATCAGATGCTTTTTTGAAGTCTATAAATAGTACATATGTATCTAAACGTAGTTGTTTCTTTCAGTACACGTTATACAGGGTGTTTCAGTTTATTGTTGCATAACTTTAAGAATCTATAGAACTTTTAAAATTAATGCATAAAGTCTATATAAACATGGG